GATGTCTCAAAGATGCTTTTCCTGGTTTTTTTCTTGGTTTTTACCTTGAAAACATTTCAATTCTCTTTTGAAAATGGAGATAAAAATGAAACCAAAATTTTTCCTTTCGAGACTAATGCAAAAAGAACTGGAGAAAAAATTTGGAACTTTGTCATTATATATGTTGATAGTAGCAAGACCATTGCATGCGCAAAAATGGAAGGACACTTCAATTCCTACTGTGGACGAATGGTTGCAGAAGTTGATGGAGTTGGCTGAAATGGCAAAATTGACTACTTTGATTAAAGAAAAGAACATAAGTACTTTTGTTTTCACATGGAGACCGATTCTGAACTTCATGCTTGAAGTGGAAAAGAATGAAACTTTGATTTTGGGTTTTACCGAGTAGATAGATAGATCTTTACAGAAATGGCTTGTTCATATTATTATGAAAAAGCAAAAAGTTGTGATTTGATGTTAATGATTATTTTATTGCAAGAGTTGGAAATCAATGCTTCTTTTTCTTTTCTTTTTTTCTTATCCTTCCTCACTTCTCTTCTCCCTTTTCCTCCCAACTGCTTTTCTATTTACTTTTCTATTTTGTATTTTACAATATTTTATAACTCAATAAAAATATTTAAACTGCAAAAACATTTTGCTTCTCATCCGAGAACTGAAGAAGCTTCTTGGATGAAAAGCAAAACATTTCAAGGAAAAAACAACAACAAAATTCAGTTGCCTTTTGGAAAAGAATTATATTTAAAACAATATTCAGGAGACAGTGGCCATTATCTGAAGAAAGAAATGGGCATTTCTAACTCTCTGGCTCCTACAAGTGGATTGTTAATGCAGTGTGCCTTTTTGTTTCAGAATGCACTTGTGGATAGCATTAAAAGAATTCTGTGGGGCTTGAAAGGAAATTATAGGTCAAAGAGCAGTGAAGGAGAAAGTAAGTCTAGTGTAAAACAGTAGAAAGTCCTTATGGTTTTGAGGAGGTGATTCCAAGCGTAAACCACCTGTGTGAAATTTTGTTAAGGTGCTGGATTAGAACAGGAAGTGTTAGGAAACCCAGATTTAAATCCACTGTCAGCCATAGAAACTCACTGAGTAATTTTGGGCCACTCTCAGCCCAACTATTTCACAGAACAGTTGCTGTTCATTTAAAAAAAAGATCTCCAAATCAGATCCTTTGAAGAAAAGCAAGATGTAGACTATAAAGCAGGGGACAAAACTGAAAGAATATTTTGGCAGGGGGTGGGTGGGATGGAGACCCTCAAGGGGAAATCTACAAGTAAAAATAGACCATTAAGGAGCTGATTTATAATCTGGGGTTCTTGGACTCACAGCTGCTGCTAGATCAGTAGGTAGAAGCAGGGACCGTTCTAGGAACAGGAAACATTGTGCATTGTGTTTATTTGTTTAAATCAATGTACAGAGTACCTAATCACCAAGATATTGTCATTTGTCCCTCTTTCGCTCTTTGGTTGAACTACTGCATCTTGCTCCATAAGGGACTACCCTTGAAGACCATTCAGAAATTTCAGTGAAAATTTAGCTGGGTGTGTGCTGCTCGGACTGCCTGATATTGTCATATAAATATCAGTATCACAAAAACAGCAGTGGCTGTCATTTTACTTTCAAGCACAGCTCAAGGTGCTAGTAATAAAAGTTTCACAAGACTTGGGACTTGGGTATCTATGAGATTGCGCATTCCAAGTCAAATCTACTGCCAAAAATGTTTTCGGAGAGTTCCTAATTACCAGATATTGTGGTAGAAAATCCAAAAGCAAACATTTCTGCTGGAGCAACCCTCCTGTGACATTTATTATCTAAGACAGGGCTGTCAAACTCACAGCCTGCGGCCCGAATGCATCACGTGCTGGCCACACCCACACCCGGTTTAGTGAAGGAGGGGGAAGTCGTGATACGTCATGTGATGATACCGTGACAACACAAGTTTGACACCCCTGATCTAAGAGATAAGAACAGCATACTTGTTAATATTCAGAAAGTTAAAGACATGGTTGTTTAAGTAGGTTTTCAGGAACTGAAGAATTAATGAATTGTTTTATCTAAGGATGTGTAATGAGTGATGATTGATTGGACTTATATTTCTACCTCACCACAATCAAGATTATAGTGTTTTACAGTCTATATACTTATTGCTATCATTGATGTTGAATCTGTTTGAGATAAAAGTAGAGAAAGATATATAATACACCTTTTGTAAAACATTTAGATCTGTTTGATTGAAGTAGCATAAAAGCTCTAGCACTAAATCAGAGTCACGGAAAGCACAAACTTTCTGGTAGCTGTGCAAACAATTTTTTATGGCAAACTTCGCTACAAAATTATTGGTAAGGTATTTCTTCTTAGCATCTAACCTCAAAATCAGGGGTGTCAAACTCGATTTCATTGAGGGTTGTTTTTGACCTTGGGGGGCTGGGGTGGGCGTGTCCCATGTGGGCATGGCCAGGTCAACATCATTCATGCTGGGGGCGCCTGTAGTGGTCCGAGGACTCTGCCAGCGAAAATGAGCTTCTGAGCTCCGTTTTCGGCTGTGACGGTCTCCTGCACCCCTCTGCCAGCGAAAAAGGAGCTTGCAAGGGCTGCCTCCCGAGCTTCATTTTCCCTGACAGAGGCACCGTGGGCCAATCCTTTGCTGTTTCCAGAGCAACCCCGCGGGTCGGATCTGGCCCCCAAGCCTTGAGTTTGACACCCCTGCTCAATATCCTTCAAAGGTATCATGCCTTATCTCTTCTTCTACATTACCCTGGGCTAGACATCTGACCTCCAAGAACTGATTGCTCGATTGAATAATTGACTGCCATCAAGTTGTACTCAACTCAAGGAAAATAGAGAAATTCATCTTCAGCAATTAATTCTTTTTGCTATTCTTTGCCATGGGCTTCCATAGCCATGCCTGGATATCCTTTTTAAAATCTCAGGTTAACAAAACAAAGCTATTTCAGTCTCCTGAAAAAAATACAGTTCTATTAATTTGCAGTGTATTTCCATAGTTGTAGAATGGATGGCTTTCTGGCTGTGCAGTGCACCATCTATGACTTGCCAGCACATACTTGCCAAGGAAGATGTAAGCAGGATCCAAAGCATCTCACTATGAAGAGGAAACAAATGTAGGTGAAACAGTTGCAATTTCAGCAGTGGTGGGATTCAAATAATTTAACCACCGGTTCTCTGCCCTAACGATTTCTTCCAACAACCAGTTCACCAAACTGTTCAGAAAGTTAACAACCAGTTCTCCTGAAGTGGTTCTAACTGGCTGAATCCCACCACTGAATTTCAGGGTATTTAGGGAAATATATTTCTAGATATATGTTTACAACACTGTTCATATTTTACGAGACTTCCTGGAGCCATCCAGAAATAGTATTACACTAGAAAAAGCAATGTTCTAAGACGGGGTCTCCAACCTTGGCAACTTTAAGGCTTGTGGACTTCAACTCCCAAAGCTGGCTGAGGAATTCTGGGAGTTGAAGTCCACAAGTCTTAAAGTTGCCAAGGTTGGAGACCCCTGTTCTAAGAGGAAGACTTTGGAAGAGAGAAACTAGGCTCTGTAGTTTGAGAAACAGGGACCTTTCTTCTTCCTAGGGGACAGCTGGTCGAAGTTGTTAAATGGGGCACTGACACTAAGGAGACCAGGTGCCTGCACTGCTATAAGTTTTTTTTTTTTAAATGAGCAAACCTGATGTGGAATTTTGAAATGGTAAAACGTATTTCAGAATTAAATTACAAATATGTGTTAGATGCCTCACATCATTATGAAGAGGAGGACAGTTCCTTTGAACTAAAGTCTCTGGACTTTAGAACTAAAGGAGCTCTGGTGGCTCAGCAGACTAAAGCACTGTTATTAACATCCACTTATATCTGCTGCCTGCAATTACTGCAAGTTCAAATCTCACCAGGCTCAAGGTTGACTCAGCCTTCCATCCTTTAAGGTAGGTAAAATGAGGACCCAGATTATGGAGGCAACAAGCTGATTTTGTATAAATATACAAAAGTATGAAGGCTATTGCTTAACATATTGTAAGCCCCCCTGAGTCTCTGGAGAAGGGTGGCATATAAATCAAATTTTAAAAAAAAAGTCCCAGAAAATTACACTTTGGGCCAAAGAGACTTCCCATCTGAGAATTAACTTTTAACTTTTAAAGATTGCACTGAAAGGTGACATTAGCAATTCAAAGTAGCAAAAATTAGCTATGGCTTCCCAAAAGGCAAACTGGAGAAAATGCAAAATCAAAACCAAGTCATTGAAACTGTTCCTCATAAACCACAAATGACAGAGATTTTGGGGTAATAATAGCCAGCTCTTTCAGTGCACACAATTATTAAATCACCTTCTGTAAGAAAAGAGATGACAGAACTTGGGGGTGGGGTTAAAAGAGGAATCAGCCTAGAATCTCTCTGGCGACACAAGAGAACTAAGTCCAACCCCCCTTGAGCGATGTTGACCCTTATCTAAGCAGGTCCCAAAGTTAGTTGAGAAAATTTCTGTACCTAAGCTTTTAGACATTAATGAAATTGACCACTTTCTTATGCACAATGACAAATGGATCCCCCTGTAACTTTCATAGTCAGCATTGCTTCTTTGTACAGTGGTACCTTGGTACTCAACTGCTTTGAAACTCATCAAATTACCATATTTTTTGGAATATAAGACACACATTAGTTTTGGAGAGGAAAACAAGAAAAAAAATCTGCCTCTGCCTACCAGCATGCATTGGTATTCATCTGGCTAGCGTCCTTGCAGCAAGCAGCAAACAGTCTGATCAGCTTCAGCACATTATTGCAGCCTGATTTAGCATGAACAGCTGGTTGGCGATTGGATCGGCCTCCCGGAATACCGCCAATCAGCTGTTCCAGGCTGCCAGGATTGCCAGAGCCCATTGCTGCTTCCACGCGTCATTTTTTAGCATCAATCTTAGTCAGTATTAATATGTTCTTCATTGCATTCTGCAGCATATCTCTCTCATTTCCATACAAATACAATGATACACTCCTCACAAAATTATTCTTTTATTCAAAATAGATTTTTTCTTATCACAGTTGCAGCTTATCCCACTTTCCTGTAATACCATACATTTGTCAAGTTTATGCTATTCAAGAGAACATGGTAGAAAGATGCCAGATCTGTTAAACAAAATAATACCCATGACCGTGACTGGGAGAAAATTCTCAAGGTTTCACAAGAAACCTTTCATAGTTCATGCTGTTTAGCTTTTTTTGAACTAGAAATATCATAGATTATAACTGGGATCTTCTGTATGTAGAGCACGACTTTCATGAATATAGTCCTTATCAGAACCAGCTGGTTACACTCCCTTATGTGTGATCTATATCAAATTTATCTAAAGTAGATTTTTAAAATTAATAAGTTATTTTATAAAATAACCAGAGGTTTAAGGCAAGGTGCTCAGCTGACAAGAAATATCTCAGTTGAATAGACACATCCCATCCATGGGTAATAATCTTTTCAAAAAATTATCCTAAACAGCTTTCCTGCCAGTAAAATATTAAGGAAACAACAGCTTTATCAGAAGCACAATAAAACCTGTCCACTGCCTCCATCAATCAATCAGTGGAAAATTTTCCATCACCTTTTATAAAATTAATCAAATGCAGAAAGGAAGCTGCAACCTGAAGCTGTGAAGGCCATACTGTCATCACCCAAAATTAACGCATAAATTAAGTTTCAGCATTAAACAGCCCAGATTGTTGTCACTTGATCCCACCAGGTTGCCACAAGAAAATGGTCCCTTTCTTCAATTAGATCCAAGCTTCTCAGGATCTCCAATTTTTTTTTATCACTTGGAAGAGACTCCCTTTTCAGGGAAACCACTGTTACTGTAGCATAGTCCAACATTTGCAGTTACCTACTAGACTCAATCTACATGAACTTGACAAACGTCTTCTGATTTTGGGGCAGCTCCCACAGTCAGAAATCCTGGTGCTTGGTGGGGACCCAAATCACCTGTCTTTTCAGGTACCCATGAATTGGCACCAACAAGATGAGAAGCAGATGGCAGTCCTGCTGATGAGTGGGAATGGTTCTGGATGCACAATTCTCCCATAGCACCAGCAGTGTGATGCAGTGTGGGACTCTGAAAGCATGGTGGTCCAGGTGCTGGAATTTGTACGTTAGGATGCTGCATGTGCATGGCAAGCAACGGAGGAGGGGGGCTGTGATAGTTCTGAGTGGGATAAGAACCTGGCACTGGATTTAACCTGAAAGAAACAGAAGAGAGATGTGTTAATAGACTAAATGCATGAGAAATACATGCAAAGTGACCCACTCAGCTAATTATTATGAAGGCAGAAATTACACAGATCCCATGGGAATTATATCTTTTTGTTATTTTTTATCCTGTCTTTTAATAAATAACTAAAGATGGCAAAGATATCTAATAATCCTACCTCTTATTTTCCCACCAACAATCCTGTGAGATTAATTTCAGCAATTTCACTCTTTCTAATATGTAAAGAACAAATGTTGCATTAACCAGGCTAAGTTCATGTGTTCCTATTCTGGGAACAAACTGAGAAGTGAATACTCATCTGGACCTGGAGACCTGAAGGAAAGTATATCTACTTTATTTATCCTCCAGGGAAAAGGAAATCATCAACTGCTCTTCACAGAAGAAAGCTATCAAAGTCCACCTAACTACTTAAGTGCCAATTTATGGTTTACATAATTCCTGTACTTGAAGACTTTGTCTCCTTCTTTGCCCCTAATAATATTAACAGGTATTAATAAATTAATGACATGATAGAAGCAGACAGGGAACAAGCCTCCATGATAAAGGCACAGGCATAAATCAAGCTACTTTCTGAAATTCAGATAACTTGTTACATAGCTTTTTTTTTCTTTCCAAAGCTTTTAACATTATTAGTGTGTTCTTGCATAGCAGTGCCTTTTATGATTTTACTTCATTTGGGCAAAAAAAGCTTGCTATTCAAAATAATACATCCTTGTAATCTTTGTAAATAATTCTACATTCCTGTTCTGTATCTTCACTATATAAAGCAATCACCCTAAACTAAAAGACTTATTATAGTTGACCTCTATTTTTCCTAGTCCCATATGTTATTGACTAAAGATAATCACAAATCACATTTCGTCAATAACATTCCTAGCCTGAATTTCCATAGGTAATATTTCCACTACAGGTAGTCCTCGACTTACAACAGTGACCATTTGAAGTTGTAACGACACTGAAAAAAGAGACTTATGACCAGTTTTCACACTTATGACCGTTGTAGCATCCCCATGGTCATATGATTTACATTTGGATGCTTGACAACTGGCTCACATTTATGATGGTTGTAGTGTCCCCGGGTCATGTGATCACCTTTTGCAACCTTCTGACAAGCAAAGTCAATGGAGAAACCAGATTCACTTAACAATCGTGTTACTAATTTAACAACTGCAGTGATTCACTTAATAAATGTGGCAAGAAAAGTCATAAAATGAGGCAAAATTCACTTAACAAATTTCTCACATAGCAACATAAAAGTTTGGGCTCAATTGTGGTTGTGAGTTGAGGACTACATGCATCTAGTTTAGCTACAGAAAAACTAAACTCAGAGCTACTACTAGCCTTGATACGTTTCCTTAAAGATGATTAACGTTCAATGGAGCTACGCCTTTTTTCCACCTTTCTGAAATTTTATGCACTATCTGGACCCATACCTTTAGTAGAACTTATTTCTTTGTAATTCTTAGACACATAACACAAATTTACAGAACAAAGCTTTATATCTAAGAGGAAAACATATGTCAAACTATGTGGTAAGATAATATTTAACATTAACACCTTCAACAGAATGTATCTTTAGTGCAGATATACATCTTTTAAATAATGAGGCTATAACTCTTATTTACAAGCTCGTATGAAAGATAATACTGATTTAAATGTAGGATTAAAAACAGAATTATTTTTGAGGTGCATCAATTAACCAAGTCATCAAATTTTGAATTCTGTGAAGATACGGAAACTTTGAGAAATACTATTATCAGCAGAAAATTAAACAACAAACATTATGAAGTGGCTAGCAGACTTACTTTCTGTACTGGAAAGCCCTTCTTTCTACCAGGGATCCTGGAACATATTTTACCCCAGGAATCCTTTTCAATAGCCGGAAAGGGAACTTCTGATCTAAACAAGAGGCTGTTGATTCAGAGAAATCCAAAGCAAAGCAGTAACCATAACCATCTAAAATTCAGAAGTTAAGGAGAGCCAGAAAAAGGATGTGAAAGAAAGCATTTTTAAGCCTGGTCTTCTGAATATATTTTTCCCAGATGTGTTCAGAAACCTCAATAGAAACTCTGAGAGTTCTAATAAGCACAGAACAACAATATTATATTTTCTTCGCTTCCCTGCATATTTTTGAACTGCACTAACAAGAAAGGAAAGACTCAAGAATGCAAAGTGGATGATTTCCCACTTACTCTTAATGTTAATTTGCTACCTTTGCAATTTTGGGTAGCGGGCAATCTATTTAGTCCATTCAAGCAATAATTAAAACAGTCTTGCTATATCTGGAAAACCCCAAAATGGAAAAGATTGTTGATGGGCTAATATAATAAATCATTAAAAAAAATAAGCTTCAAGTTTATCTGTAATGCAGACGCTAATCTAGCCTAAAACATGTTACAACTATTCTTTAGATATGGAAGATGCAACTTGATAAGTTAAAGGGCTAGGTTATGCAATTCATTATAAAAAGATACATATATTCCCAATTAAGAGACCACAGAGGTTTGCTAGGAAAGAGGAACTTGGGATAATCCAGGCCATGCAAAGCAACAACCAGGGCACAAATGTCATGTGGAAGGTCACTCCAAAGAGCACTGTTCTCCTCATCCGAGAGCGAGCAATTGATGCAGCCAGCATCGCAAAAGCCACAGGAGTGAATCCTTCAGCATCTGTCATCCTCAACAGGCCGGATGCCATAGTCCTGAGTACAAGGTAGAGTAGAGCTAAGGAAACTGCAAATGCCAGAGTGAGGAACGAGTGCTTCACAGTCCCCACCATCTTCTCAAAGCTGCCAGCAAAGTACCAGATGATAACAGCACTGCATACCAAGGAGATCACATCCTCATAAACAAAGATGTAGGTCACCAACCTATAAACTGTGCAAAAAGAGCCAAGTTGGCAAATAAATGACAGACAAGTATCTGACACTATGAAATCATTCCAAACCTATTCATCATTTTGGGAGAATGGGTGCCAACTCCAAAGACAAGCTGAATTGAAAGGCTGGGATAGGGTTAAAGCAGGGTGGAGAGCTGTATTAAATCAAAAGACCAGAATCAGAAGAGTGTTGGGCTTAGTAAGACATTTAAGTGAAGTATTTTTTTATCTAATTTACATAGCCACCTATCTCACCAAAAACTGTGGGCAGCTTACATCAAAAACTAAAACAGTTTATAAATAAATAAAACTATTTACCAGTTAATTATAAACACATTTTTAAAACTCTAAAAATAAACCAAACAAGAAATAACAGATCGAGGGATGTTAATAATAGAACTCTAATAATAATAAGAGTTCACTTAGCTCCTGGGGCCCCCAGGTTTTCTGACATTACCAGATTTTAAGGGATTCTCAGAAGCTCATAAGTCAGACCAAACTCACCTCAGGTGGGAGAAGATTCCACAGTGTGGGTGTCACCAGAAAAGGCCCATTACGTAGGATCTCCGTAGCACGTATAAAGTATACCTTACAAGGCTTGTGATCTGGCTGTTTTCTAACAAACTGAACATGCCTGGTTTTGCAAGATTGGAGAGGAGACGCAGGCAAATTAGTTTGGTCAGCCTGAAGAAACAGATACTTTTTTTTGTTCTTCTGGAATTTTTAATATTTCTCAAAATTAGCCATGATAGTCTTTTGAATTGGCTAGATAGAATAGATGGGGGGGGCAGTATTTACTCTGTGATATTTCTAATTCTTCCTAAAATTGTATATTCAGTAGTTTGCCTATTGCTTACAACAGCATTCCAATTTATTTAGCAAATGTATACACTGCCTATTCTTTTAACAATTTAAGGTGTTGCAAAGATGCATGCAGTTGTAATCTATAACTATAATAGAAAAAAGCAACAAAAATCAGTAAATGTGCTTTAATATTGTCTCTTGCATTTCAGCAGGTACGACAAATCACTGGGAAAAATAATCTGAAGTGTGTTTTCGTCCATCAATAACATGCAGCTTTATCTGGTAAGTTCCTTAGGTTTAAAACCAATGTACGAATAGGGGAGATAAGAGATAAAAAAACCCTGAAAACTTCTGTTCTGTTTCTGAATAGAAGAGATCCTGAAATTATTATGAAAATATTAAAGGACCTAGAAAAATGAGGTTTCAGCACTGCTTTTGGCAAATCTAAGCAAATATCAATAGCATGTTTTTTTGCATGGGTGGGTGGGGAAGCTTTCTGTCACATCCTTCAAAATATTGGGAGCCTAACAGATTGCCTTCAAATAATTCAGACCTGCCTTCCATTCGCTCCTGCTTTGCCAATCGTCAAGAAGCCTAAACTCAAAATGTAACAGAGAAGGAAGAACTCTGCTATGTAAGTTTCCTCAGGGAGGGAGCTGCCTAGATGCATTGTATCAGCCCCAGGAAGAAGCAAGAAATGACTGGAAATTAAAGATGAGGACAGTCTAGCAGGGGTTAAGAGAAAGGGCCAGATTGTCTTCTATTGGAAGCCTTGAAGAAATCAGTCTTTGCTAGGAAATAACTTTATTTTATTTATAAAACTTATAGGCCGCCTATCTTACCTCAAGGAAACTCTGGGCAGTTTAAATGCTTAAATTAAATAAGCACTGAAAAAACAATAGAATGAGTCCTGTAAGGGCCTTCAAGACCTCCTTAAGTCCTTCCAATAGAAACCAGCCAGATGTCCTCCATGAAGCATGAAGAACAGAGCTTTCTCATCTTTATCGTAACTGCTATGGTAGCCTGCTCCTTCCCATGGAAGATCCATTTCCATCTCTCTTGGCTTTTATCCTCCCCTTCGGTTTCTGAAAAGCAAAAGAGTCCAAGGGGAGGGAGGGAGGGAGGGAGGGAGGGAGGGAAGGAAGGAAGGAAGGAAGGAAGGAAGGAAGGAAGGAAAAAAAGAGGGATCATCCCTCGAGCTCACCTTGCCCTTCCCGCACTGCCGCCGGCCGCAGCAAAAACGCCGACAGAGAGTCATCGGGCAGGCCATTACTCCTGCTCCGCTGCAGCAGGCCTGGCCCGGAGACCAGCAACGAAAGCAAAATCGTGAGGCAAGTTGCCACCGGAAACTTTTCCATGCTTTCCCGCCTTCACTTTTACACACCCGACTTCCAGATCGCCCGGGTTACCAAGCTTCCCCGTATTCTACTTCCGGGTTAGGTCACAATATTTTTTATATATATATATATGTAATATAGCTAAGAACTCTGACAGACAGGAAGTCCCGCCTTCCCGCTGAAGGAACTCTTGCGGGGCTTGGGCGGGTGAGGTTGTATTCCCCCCTCCCTCCTGTCCCGAAAAGCAAAGCCGTCCTCCGTTGCCGTGGTAACCGAACACCATGGATTACCCCAGCCCTTGAAACGTGCTTTCAAATAACAACAGCTGCAGAAAGGAGGCGGAGCCAACTAAGGCTCCGAAGCACTGATAGGGCGGCTGCAGTGGTCCCGCCCATTTGTGCTGCCTTCAACCGGAGAGCGGGGTTCCTTACAGGGAGTCCTCGACTTACAACAGTTCATTTTGCCACAAGGAAGAGGGAGTCAAGTTATTTTTCCAAAGTACCTGAAGGCAGGATAAGAAGCAATGGATGGAAACTAATCAAGGAGAGAAGCAACCTAACACCAAGGAGAAATTTCCTGATAGAACAATTAATCAGTGGAACAGCTTGCCTCCAGAAATTGGGGGTGCTCCATTACTGGAGATTTTTAAGAAGAGATTGGATAACCATTTGTCTGAAGTGGTGTAGGGTTTCCTGCCTGAGCTGGGGGTTGGACTAGAAGACCTCCCTTCTAACTCTGTTATTATGTTATTCATTTAATGACTGTTCAAAGTTACAACGGCACTGAAAAAAGTGACATGATCATTTTTCACAGTTGCAACTGTGATCAAAATTCAGATGCTTGGCAAATGGTTCATACTTGTAACCACTGCTGTGCCCCAAGGTCACGTGATCACTTTTTGCAACCTTTTGATGAGCAAAGTCAATGAAGAAGCCAGATTCGCTTAACAACCGGGTTACTAACTTATCAACTGCAGTGATTCACTTAACAACTGTGGCAAGAAAGATTGTAAAATGGTGCAAATCTCGCATAACAAATGTCTCACTTAGCAACAGAAATTTTGGGGTCAATTGTCATAGATCAAGGACTACCTGTATTGTAGCATTGTAGTACGGGCAAATAGCTGACAATTTCAGAAGCTAAAGGGAAGAGGCAAGTTCCTTGAGAATGGCATGGCTATCTTACGCAATATGTACTGTATAAAAATAAAGTTTGTTAACTGTAGCCTTTTTTGTCATGACACCAATATGGAAACGGTTTTACTATTGACTTTTCTTGGATTTTGGTTTTTAATTTCTGAGATTGGTCTGAGATGTTCTGGATGTCTTCTGTTAAAGTGTTCACACACTACATCCAGAGTTGCTTAGATGGAAATTAGGCTAAAAGGCACAACTGCTTATATTCCTATATGTTGCTTTGAGATTATAACAATGATAATATTTTAAACCCGTTTCCATTGCTTAATTGAGATTTGTTTGCTTATGTGCCTTCAAGTCTTAATTCCAGGCAACTACTGAGGTCACTGCAATTTTATTGGCATGGTTTTTCAAAAGTTGTTTGCCATTCCTTCATTCCTGGGGCAGAGAGGTGGTGACTGGCCCAAGATCACTCAACTGGCTTTGGGCCTAAAGCAAGATTAGAACTCTGTCTCCTGGTTTCTAGTCTAGTGCCATAAGTACTACACCAGTGATGGCTAACCTTTTTTTCCTCGGGTGCCAAAAGCGTGTGCATGCCCACACCCAAAATGCAATGCCCCCCATGCATGCCCCCCTGCGCAGGCGCGTGCAATCCTCCCACGCTCCCCCACCCCCTGTGCATGCATGTGCGACACCCCCCACGCCCCATTTTGGGCCTAGAAGGGCTCCCTGAAGCCTCCGGGGGCCAGAAATGGCCCATTTTCGGACTTCTGGTAGGCCCATTTTTTACTCTCCACAGGCTCCGGAGGCTTTCCTGGAGCCTCCAGGAGGGCGAAAACGGTCTCCCCTGGCCCTTCGGAGGCTGGAAATAGCCTGTTCCAGACTTCTGGTAGGCCCATTTTTCGGTCCTCCCAGAGCCTCCGCACGAGCCCTGTACTTACCTGGCATCCAAAACGGGCTGCATGGAGACTCCTGGGAGGGGAGGGGCAGCATGGGCATGTGTGCGTGTCTCCCACATGCATGACAGAGACCCAAAAATCAGTTGGCCGGCAGAAGGCACACACACATGCGGTGGAGGTGATCTAGGGTGGCAGCTCATGTGCCTGCAGAAATGGCTCCGTGTGCCACCTGTGGCACGTGTACCATAGGTTCGCCATCATGGTACTACACCAAACTGGCTCTCTTAATCTGTTTGCCAAGTGTACTTTGAATCTGAAGCTTCTATTTGAGTGGCCCTTTTGAAAGACAGAAATTCTAACTGAATTAAAACTTTATAATTCTGTGATTCGTATTTTAGCTGGCTGGGCTTTTGAGAACTGACTGACCAGAGCTGAAAAGAAGTATCAGATACTGTAGATTCACAAACTGGTCAAGCCATGCTGAGATTTGCTTAACTCTGACTTAGTGTATTGGTGAATAAATCTGGTGTACAAATAATTAAATGTCATGATTTAATGTTATAAGTGAACAAATTATATCTCAAACCTTGGGCTGTTGCTTAAAATAATTGATTGGTTGTGTATAAGGCAGGCAGGTTGTAGCTGCATATACATCTAAGCAGAGCCAAAGCTTCCCAGTGATTTTCAGCTTTTCTAAGACCCATTGGATATAAAGATATGTTCTGTTTCTCCAGAAGTGGCATCAACTATGGCTATTCATTTTCTTGAACTGTGTCAAATATGTTGGAAATGTTAAATTTTTAAAAATGTTCAAGAACAGAAATAGACACAAAAATTGTTTAGAGAATGACATGTAGACATTTATATTGCTAAGCTGTGCAACAGTTATACTTACAAATTATGTTTTAACAATTTTCTACATGATATGAAAACTGCAACAATAGCTTTGATAGACTAAATATTGCAAATTAGGAAACGCATTCACAAAAGAAGACTTTAGGGAGCGGTGCTCATCTCCATTTCTTAGCGAGAGATCCAGTATTGTCCAAAGATATTTCCATGGTCATGTGGCCAGCATGATTATACGCCGAGGTGCACAGAACACTGTTACCAAAATGGTACCTATTTATCTACTCGCATTTGCGTGCACTCGAACTGTTAGGTGGTCAGCTGAGCAAAGATGGGAGCTCACTCCATTGTGCAGCACTTGGGTCTGAGTATAGAAACTGTGGGTTGATTTGCAAGGTAATTAGAAATGTCTAATTGGATTCTGCCCTTGCACAAGAATTAGTTTCAGACAGGGAACAAAACCAGCACAAACTCAGAGACTATCTGGGAAGCCATTTCATTTCCCCAAATTACTAGAATTACTAGAAAAGAATCATCCATGCAGTTGATTTATATTTCTCAGGTTCTCCTTCAGAGTGTTGAAGGACAATTTTACACTGTTGGAAGAAACATCCTTCTAGGTTCTGCTCCAAGTGGGGAAACAGACACTGGAAACATGGAGGCTGCTTGGAAAGATGGTTTAATGGTGGACAGGATCACATGGCTTGAGTTTCTGAACAGAAAAGGGCAGATACAGTAAATCCTCGGGTTTTTATGCTCTCTCTGGCTCTGCATTTCTTGGGACCCTGAAAGAGTATCCTGATTGGTTGTCAGACTTCCAGGGGGTGGGGGTCTTAGCTAGCTTTGCTGGCTGATGGTCACATGTGCTTCCCAGGTCACATGTGGTGAGTTTCTGCTGCTATTGTGTAGAGGGCTAATCCTATCTTTGTTGGATCTTTGGCAATTCCTACTATGGCTCTGCCTGAAGGAGGTAGATCTTTGTTATGTAGAATAGACTGGCCCAAGCCTTAATGGCCCATTGACAAAGGGTGGGGGCAGGAAGATGGGAGCTGCTTCAAAACATGCTTATCCCAGGGAAATATAATATTCTGCCTTTTTCATATTTCCTAAAATATTTCACTCTTCCAGCTAACTTCCTACAACACCCCAGCTGTTTATAAGGGATGGAGATCACTTCTATAGGACAGCAAAATAGGCCCTGGCCATATCTTTTTCAGCATCTGCTTCAGTGGTGGCATTCACTTACCTTCGCTATCAGTTTGCAAATGTGAGCGTGGGAGCGCACTCGCTTCATTTGCATGCACCACCTCCATGCATGTGCAAGACCTATGCATGTGCAGATCATCAAAAACAGGACATGATGATGTCTGGACGGGTGGGCGGAGCCTCCCGCTACCGGTATGCCGAACTGGTTAGAACCGGCAGAATACCACCACTGATCTGCTTGATATGTAGAATTTCAGAAAAAAAATCAACCTAGTTTTGTTGGAAGTTAAAACCCACCCCTCTCCTAGAAAAATGAAATATTTTAGGACAGTGGTGGCTAACCTTTTTGCCATTGTGTGCCAAAAGTGCAGGGGAGCTGGGGGTGTCGAGCGTGCGTGTGCCAATACCCATAATTGTGCCCTGCCCCCCATGCATGCACGTGTGAACCCCCCGCACTCCCCCTGCTTTTGGCACGCGATGGCACAGTGGGCCCGGTAGGCCTGTTTTTTGCCCTCCCCAGGCTCCAGAGGCTTGCTAGGAGCCTGGAGAGAGTGAAAATGGTCTTCCCCACCCGAGGCCAAAAACAGCCCGTTTCCCAATTTCTGGTGGGCCCAAAAGGCCCGAAAATCAGCTGGCTGGCGTACACATGCACACTGGATCTAAGCTAGGGCAACTCTTGCGTGCCCACAGATATGGCCACGCATGCCATCTGTGGCACGCGTGCCATAGGTTCGCCATCATGGTTTTAGGATACGCTAAAAAGGCAGAATATTTCCCGCAAAAAGGGAGGCAGAAACTCATTCCCCCCACCTTTGTCAATGGGCCATTAAGGCCTCAGCATCCCATCTGCAACACAAAGGATCAATCTAGCAACAGAAACTCCCCACATGGCACCTGGGAAGATTACATCAGCCAGCAAGGTTAGCTATGACCTCTGACAACCAATCAGGATACTTTTCCTGTGCCCCAAGAAGTTTAAAGTCCAGAGAGGGCATAAAACCCAGGAACTCTCAGCATCTCACCCCCACTTTTCTGTTCAGGAACTCAAGCCATGTGATTCCTGTCCACCATTAAACCATCTTTCCAAGCAGTCTCCATGTTTCCAGTGTCTTTTTCCCCACTTGGAACTGAACCCAGAAAGACATTTCTTCCAACACTTTCAAGGCACCAAAACTAAATCAGAGGGTTTAAAAAAGATATTGGCACAACAGAATAAGCTTTTCTCCCTAGAATCTACAGGGAAAAAAATGCATTACTGAACTCATAAAATAAAGCAACTACTTGAGAAACAAATTTGTTCATCTTCTTGCTTTACCAGGTAAGTATCCCTGCCAGATGGACTGGACGGTCATTTTGGTTGCACGAAACCACAATATATTTCCATCTGCTCTCTTCTGCCTTGTACTTGCAATCTTTTCCATATTCCTGAGAAAGTCTGCAACTTGTCACACGAAATTTCATGCTACTCTTCTTATATTCCAAATTTTGGATCACGTATGGTTTCCCTGACACACAGGTTTGGTCAATAAGCTTCTCAGGGGCATGGATGAATGTGTTGAGCCGTTTGCATCCACTTCTAGTCAAAGAAATCCTTCTATTTTGCATCTCACTGTTGCATCTGTTGTGGTCTATGTTATCCAGAAATGTCATATGTTTCCTTTGAAAGGCTTGTGGGTTTTGAGACTGAGAAATATTGATAACAGAGATGGAGATAAAGAACAGAAGCATCATAGATACTCCGTTTGAAGCCATTTTCTTTGGTTGGACCTAAAGTTTTAAAAAACACTGATTACCTATTTTCCTATTTTCCAGAGAGTTATCATTTAGAGTTCCATAAATTTGCAGGAAAAGTCACAGGAAGGAATTACATTTCATACTAAGCTTTACTGAAGTTCACACAATACATTAAATTACTATGATTACACACACCACATATAATTCTTTAACTTCAGAAGTGGCTCCTTAGTTCTGCATAAACTCTTGTTTAAATTTAGAACTTACCACTATTCAACATTTGAATTAATTTTACATTAAATTGAATTTACATTGAAAAAATAAGAATACACAAAAGAAATCTGAAAAAAGGACATCTAACTAAACATACTTTACACTACTTCCATTCATTATACTTCTTCATATCTTCAAACCTTGTTTCTGCCGTGCCTTATTCCAAGACTCAAACTTCTATCACTTACAGGTGGAATCCTGATCTTGTACTTTCTTGACCACCCTGAACGAACCAAGTGAATAATTTTGTCTTGGACAAAAGAATTTAATTATGCCCTCAAATAGCTAATTAGGGCAGCCTTAACTTTATAGTACAGTAGTATCATCAAAAGAATACAACAGTGTAGTATTGTAATTGTGCCTCCACCAATAAATAAAATCCTTCTAGCATTTGAAAGGGTTCAGTAGTCATGGCATGTTGAACATCAGAAAATAAAAACATATTGGCAAGAAGATCCAGATTGAGGTTGGGATACACATCAGCATTTGTATTGCAGGATCTTCTAGTTCTGATAGAATGTGTGTTGCCATAGCTTTCAGGACTTTATTTGAAGAAAAGAAAGAAGAAAATGCCACTCACAGAAAAAGAAAAACAGGTCCCACTGCATTTTGAGAAAACATTTTACTGTTTTATCCTTTGCTGATTGGTTGCTCTGTCTTGTAGATAAGATTAATTCATCCTATTTTGACTCTTATCAGCTTTTTGCCATTTAATTTTGAATAAAATTGTACTTACAATTTTACCTTCTCCGGTGGCTGATCCTGAGTTAGCACCAACTTTCACTGTCTCTTGGACTGCTGATCCAGAATAGTCTGCTGACAAAAGAGAGGATAGCTACGCCCTAGGTTAGATTTGTTTTTCTCCCAACTGGCATTTTTTCTTTGTTGGAACATGCCTTCTTTTCAAACTTGAACATTTTAGGCTGTTCTGTAATTTCTGGAGCACTCCTGATTGGACCTTCTTTAGAGAGACAGCAGCCATCCCCTTTGCTTTTGGGGAAATAAATCTCATGGATTAAAAAAGAAGTTTATTTCTGGGAAGCATGTGTGCCAAGAACATTAGATTGTTTTTGGCAGGGATGGATAGATTTTCAGGTTGATGGGATTTGATTCGTTTCTAAGATCCATCAAATCTGGGACTGTACAAAACATGTAAGCTTAAAACTGATCTCTGAATCAGAGGATTTGTTTCATCTTGGGGGGGGAAAGCACTTCTTAATAGAATAACATTTTTATTGAGTTATAAAGTATTGTAAAATACAAAAGTAAATAGAAAAGCAGTGGGGGAGGGGGAGAGGAAAGAGAAGTGAAGAAAGATTGCCTGACTAGGTGGCTCAGTGGCTAAGACACTGAGTTTGTCGATCAGAAAGGTCGGCAGTTTGCTGGTTCGAATCCCTAGTACAGGTCTCCTGCGTGAGCAGGGGGTTGGACTAGATGACCGCCAAGGTCCCTTCCAACTCTGTTACTGTTGGGGAAAAAAAGAAAAGAAAAAGAAGCATTAACTTCCGACTCTCTCTGTTACAGTAAAATAAGCCATTAACATCAAATCACAACTTTTTTGCTTTTCCATAATAGTATGAACAAGTCATTTCTATAAAGATCTATCAGTCTAATCTGTAAAACCCAAAGTCAGAGTTTCATTCTTTTCCACATCAAGCACAAAGTTCAGAAGTGGTCTTCGTGTGGAAACAAAAGTACTTATGTTCTTTTCTTTAATCAAAGTAGTCAATTTTGCTGCTAAACTGGCTAAAAAAAAGGAACTTCTTAAACTCTGATATCCCCAAGAAGAGGCATATTGGGAATCCTGGAAGTTTATTGTGACCTCTCTCACAAGAGGGAATAAAAAGAGTGCTGATTGGTAGCAGCAGAGGAGGGATCTCTTTGATTAGATCTGAGGTGGTGCAGTGGTTAGAGTGCAGGACTGCAGGCTACTTCAGATGACTGCTAGCTGCAGTTCAGCAGTTCAAATCTCACTGACTCAAGGTTGACTTAGCCTTCCATCCTTCCGAGGTGGGTAAAATGAGGACCCAGATTGTTGGGGGCTAAATGCTGACTCTGTAAACCGCTTAGAGAGGGCTGTGAGTAGACAGTAAGTCTAAGTGCTATTGCTATTGCTATTAATGGTTTCAGTTTTGATGTTTACGGCCCACAGTCCCAGTTCAGAAAATGGCTGCCACATGGGTATAGCCAATGTCAGGTGCAAAAAGTCAGGAGCCAGCATAGAGTTCAAAAGTACAGGTAATCCTCAATTTACAACAGTTCATTTAGTGACCATTCAAAGTTACAACAACACTGGAAAAAGTTACTTTTGACCATTTTTCATATTTATGACCGTTGCAGCATCCCCGTGGTCACGTGATCAAAATTCAGATTGTTGGCAACTGTCACACATTTATGACAGCTGCAGTGTCCCAAGGTCATGTGATCACATTTTGTGACCTTCTGACAAAGCAAAGTCAATGGATAAACCAGATTCACTTAACAGCCGTGTTATTACCTTAACAACTGCAGTGATTTGTTTAACAACTGTGGCAAGAAGGGTCGTAAAATGGGACAAAGCTCACTTAACAAATTATGTTGCTTATCGACATAAATTATGGGCTCAATTGGGGCCGTAAGTCGAGGATTACCTGTACTACAAGTTTATTTCATTCTATCTATACATAAAAATCTGAACTACTAATGATCAAGGCAAATTAGTGCCAGATAAGAGTCAACGGACTTCAAGGGGTGGGGTTGGTCTCTTACCGGGACGTAAATACTCCAAACTGATGTGTTTGACCCCGGCCTCGGGCTCCGCTTGTTCATCTACATTCAGTAACAAAATAATGATTTAAGATACCTAGTCAAATTCCCTTCCACAATTCTATTGATTACTGTTATTTTTTTCAGGGCATTATTTTTTTTTTATATTCTAAGATTGTCCATGGATCCCATATGATGCATTTTTATAAAAGTGGTAGAGGATGGGGGTTTCAATTATAATTTTGTATTATTGTATTGTATTGTATTTTAATATGACATGTTCCCCCCGCTCTCTCTTTCTTTCCCCCATATACCAACTAGTCCTCAATCTATGACTTAATGACCATTCAAAATTACAACGATCCCCCCCTAATTCTATTTACAACCTGTTTTTGAAGTTACAGTGGCTGCCCCCTCCATCCCATCATGTGAGTACATGTTGGGTGCTTGGTAACTAACCTTTATAGCCGTTTGTAGCATCTTGCAGTCTTGGGGTAGATTGCAGGAGTGACACCGAAATATAATTTTATCATATTTTATCTGTATCTTAAATTATTGTATTCTATTCCGATTTCATTTTAGACTGTATTCTATTCTGATTTCATTTTAAATCATATCTTATTCCAATTTCATTTTAAATTGCTTTTATCAAACTTTAGTAATAATTTGTTTCTGGAACTTTGTACTTTGATATGGCCCAAGGGCTAATCAATAAAATAAAGTAAAGTAAAGCATCTTGCAGTCAAAAGACTGTGATTTTTGCCTGTTTCTGTCATTTATTTTCCGTTTCCAGCAAAAAATGCTAATTGGAGGAAATTGATTTGCTTAATGACCGCAGAGGTCACTTAATGACCACCACAAAAAATGATGAAAAATCAGGTCTGGTTAGATGATGCTCCAACTTATGACCACAATAACTTAACAATTATAATTCTGGGCTCAGTTATGATTTTAAATTGAGAGCCACCTGTACTAGTGTTTAAATCTCTCATGTCGGAAAACCTTTTGTCCACTATGGATATAATCAATAAGCCTAATATCCTTTTTCTGATTACAGAATAAATTAGAGGTTACTGTCAACCATCGAGCCACAACTCTAAGCCATTTAAAGGTAAAAAATGCAAAACATAGGTTAATTGATTGGTATCCAAAACCAGACCATTTTTTAACTATCAGAAATGTTGGAAAGTTTTAATATGTGGGACTAATTGATTAAAATTAGCATTGAATTATAATTTGAAAGAAAAAAATTATAATGTCTCATAGGCATTGTCAAAAATATATAAAGGGGTTTTAAATGTATGTTGGAAATGCAACGGCAATTCCGAGGTTTTTTTTGGGTTTTTTTTAACATTTATCTCTGGTGGACTTATAATAAAGAAATACTGGGATGAGATATTTACTTTAATCAGAAGATTCTTAAAAGAAATACAAAATTGAAACCGAAAGTTTTTCTTTTAGATTTGAGGGACCAAAAATTTGAAAGAAATTTTAGGGCTTTGTTATCATATAGGTCAGGGGTGTCAAACTCGATTTCATTGATGGCTGCATCAGGGTTGTATTTGACCTTGGGGAGCATGGGGGGGCATGGATAGGGTGGGCATGGCCAGGTCGACGTCACTCCTGTCTGAGGCGCCTGTGGTGGTCTGAGCGCTCTGCCAGTGAAAACGGGCTGCCACGGCCTCCTGCAACAGGGTTGGGTACTACTTACCTTTACTACCAGTTCGCAGCGGGAGCGAACACAGAAGCTTCTGCGCATGCGCAGATCACCCATGATGATGTCATGGCGGGTGAGCGGAGCCTCCCGCTGGTTTTACTACTGGTTCTATAGAACTGGACCAAACCGGGAGCAACCCACCACTGTCCTGCAACCCCCTGCAAGTGAAAACGGAGCTTGGGAGGGCTGCGTGGGGCTGGTCCTTCGCTGTTTCCAGGGCAGTCCTGCAGGCCAGATCTAAGTACCCCATGGGTTGGATCCAGCCCCTGGGCCTTGAGTTTGACACCCCTGATATAGGTTGACAGTAGTGAGAATATTGTATGCACAAAGATGAAAAGACACACTGGAACAGTGGATGATAGAGATTGCGAAATTGTTTTAACCAAAGAGAATTATCTTTGTTTCTATTTGGAAATTGCAATTGAATTGGACTTTTTCCTCAAAACTCATGAAAATGAAACTTTGATTTTAGATTTTGTTAATTAGACTGGTTTTGTTATTATAGAAATAGCTTGAAATGTTGCAAAATGTAAAGGAAAAGATTGAGGTTGTAATTCTTTTGTACTTTACCGCACTGAAAAAAATTGGAAGTCATTACTTTTTTTCCTTTTCTTTGTACTTTTCTTTTTTTTCTTACTTCTCCACTTTTTTCTGTGTTTTCATTTCATAATTAAGGTTAATAAAATCTATATTAAAGAAATGTTGTAAAGTATGGCAAGAATCAAAGAGCTGTAATCACACTAGGCAACTTCTTATTGAACCCTGCCCTGGGCAGATACTCATATCATAATTCACCGTCTTTATTTCTTAATCTTTATCTGTCTTATTTATGGGTCCAGGCACTGATTCACAACCCACTACGTTTTCCTGAAATTGGATGAAAAGAAAAAAAAATACAATCTCATAACTAAATGTCTTATATTTTTATGGTGTTTTGCTGTGGTTAGATGCCCAGAATTACCAGGTGAAGTCATATAAATTGCATAAATTTATTGCATCAAAGCTTGCATCAAGCTTTCACCTTGAACCTTGAGTTCCTTACATACTAAAATCTTGGACTTTGTAACTAAAGTTTCTGGATAGGAATCCCATGAATTTCCCTGCAAAATCTAAAAAAGGATATCATCTCCACTTCTCCCCTGAAATTACTATTATTTATTAAATTATTTGCAACTCTGGGCGGCTTACAAAAGTTAAAACGGATAAAACGATACAACTATATATATAGCAATAAAATTATAAATTATGGTTAAAAGATGTGGAGGGGAGGGAACAAAGTGAGCCTGCTGCTAGGGAATTCTGGGATTTGAAGTCCACACATGTTAAGGCTCTGCGACTGAGCAGTGACCTAAGCGATCCCGTAGTTATTGTGAGGATCAATATTTGGCGGACAGAGCCTTGTTTATTATATTAAATTCCTTGGATGAAAGACATGATATAAATCTAATAAATAAATTCATCTTGCCTGAAAGCACATTATTCATTATTTAGGCTACGATGGGACATTCCTTCGTAACCTGTCGTCCTCCCCCTCCTTAATAGCCACGGTGGTACAGTCCATTTGGGAACAGAGTCTACTTATTATTTCTCTCTTCCCCCCCACATCCCGCAAATTAGTCGGATTATTCCAATTTCCTCCTTTAGCTTCCCCCCCCTTTTTTTTTTGCTGCAGGCGTCGTTCAAGTTGGTATCTTCCGCCTGCTCTGATTGGCTGCGTCGCCCCGCAGTCGAAGCGACGGCGGCGTCGACTACGTTACCGCCGCCAGA